CGAACGTTAACTTCAACAATACGTCTCTCTCTGACTGCAGTTCAGTTACTAATTACCTACACACACATTACATTACCGTCACGTTGTCACCCTCTTTTATATACCAGACTACCCTATATCTAGTAAATGCTAGAGCATTCGCCAAAGTACAGGATAGTTCTAGAAAGTAGAGGGCGTGAGAATAGTCACGTGATCTCGATGACGCAACAATATTATAATATAAAACCTACTCTAAGCTGTGAGTGTTTTACAATAGAGATGGTCATTCCCTTACCACAGATGGTGGTAAGTTGCAGCTGAGAGACAGCTTCAGTAATTGAAAATTATAGATGGCTTTGTTATAGCTACAAAATGCAAATACGTTGAAGAAATTCTGTTTAAATTTCCCTGTTCTTTTCTTCCGAAAGATATTACATATTTAGTATTTGTTTTTAAACTTTTTAACAGTGAATACATCTATAGACCTAACCATACTAGTCTCAGGAAAACCTTTCAGTGGGTTAATTTCACCAGATCTAGTGTCAGGACTTTCTATGTTCACGAGCACTGTCGGATTAGCTTATGTATTAGCATAAGTTACAAAAGCTCTGGGCTCGCACCAATAAGCAAAACATTTTTAACCTATTTCAATACGATTGTTAAAAAATAACAAATAAAAAATACCACAGAAATTCATTTGTATTATATCCACCAGGGTTTCGGAGTGCTCCTGCAGTGAAAAGGAGCGGCTCCGGAGCGAATACTTTTTTTTTTAATCGCTCCAGAGGTAATGCGTTTTTCCGCTCCGCTCCGGAGCCGTAGTCGAAAATAAATGAAGCGATGTCGAAAGATTAATTACTGAGGCTTATTTTATAGACCATTTATCGTGAATAAAAGAAATATTTTGATATAATTACATTTTTCTCATTTACTACTAAAGCTTGCGAAAATTTAATAAAACTGTACCAGTCATAACAAAGTTTTAAAAATTAAAATCACGGTCAAAAATATATTTACTGGCAGATAGGGGCCTCGTCTTCTAAAAATGCTACGGGCCCCACACATGCTTAATCTGGCACTAAAAGCACGATGTTATATTTCTGAGAGAAAATTATGCTTACTTTATTGATGGCACAGCGGTATGTCTGCGGACTTACTACGCTATAAACCGGGTTTCGATACCCGTGGTGG